CGTGGATGTGTTCCAATAAAGCTTTATTTACAGAAATAGGTGATAGACTATTTTGGCCATGGGCTGTAGTTTGCTAAATCCTAGTTTATACCATTTGATAAGCCTATTTTTTTTTTTTTTAAGGCAGGCACCTTGCTCTTGCATGGACAGTGGGGCCTCATGCAGAGCTCTTCACTCTTCACCTAACCTTACATGGTCATGCAATGCAGCCTGGTAAACACCTGTTCAAAGGAAGTGGGCTCTTCGACCAAATGGCTGCTGCAGAAAAGACCACAGAGACATGTGGAAGAAGAGAATAGGGAGTAGAGAGAGACAGATCGCAGATGTGTCTGGGCTGTTTTCTTTCAGTTCTTATTTATTAGCAGTAATGTAAGGATGTTGTGATGGTTAGTACTGAGTGTCAACTTGATTAAATTGAAGGATGCAAAGTATTGATCCTGGGTGTATCTGTGAGGGTGTTGCCAAAGGAGATTAACGTTTAAGTCAGTAGGCTGGGGAAGGCAGACCCACCCTTCATCTGGGTGGGCACCACCTAATCAGCTGCCAGTGAATATAAAGCAGGCAGAAAGACGAGAAAATTTGAGACTGGCCTATCCTCCAAGCCTACGTGCTTGTTCCATGCTGGATGTTTCCTGCCCTTGAACATTGGACAGCTTTGGAGCTTGCACTGGCTCCCCTTGCTCCTTAGCCTACAGATGGCCTATTGTGAGACCTTGTGATCATGTGAGTTAATACTTAATAAACTCCCCTTTATAGATATATATATATAAAAAACATATTATATATACATATATAATATATATTTATACATATAAATATATATTTAATATATGTATATATAATATGTTATATTATTATATATACATATATTATATTATATATCATATAAATTATATATAAAAATTATATATTATTAATATATATTATTTATATATAGTTTAGATATAAGTTATATATAATTTATATATATTATATTATATTATAATTATATATATTATAAATTATATAATATATAAATATTATATAAATATATAAAATATATATAATAAATATATATAAAGGGGAGTTTATTATAAATATATATTATATATTTTTATTTTTATTTATATTTTATTATAGTTTATTACAAATATATATTATATACATATATATATAATTTTTTTTTTCCCATTAGTTCTGACCCTCTAGGGAACCCTGACTAATACAGATTTTGGTACCAGGAGTGATTTTAGAGGAACAGAGTATTAAGAATGGAGTTCTTTCTTTGGTTTTGGGGTTTCTGGAGTTGGCTGCTTCATATGATTAGATCCCAAAATGCTAAGGACTCTACTTCTAATAGTATGGAGAACACTGATAGTCCTTAGTGTGAACCGTTTAGAGAGTTATGCAAAATAAATGCATTTGACACTCCTGATTCACCGCCTGTGAGAGGCAAGGAGTTTAGTGACTCTGTACACAATACCTTTGACCATATGTGGAGAACCAAGGAACATAATGAAGCTGCTTGGTTGCTCCTAAGTTCAGTGGACAAAGTGATGAGAGTGAATGAGAAACTCAGGAATTCTAATTCCCAGCTTCAGAAGCAGACACTGAGCTTCAAATCTGCTAAGACTGCCCTGAGTGAGTCTTCTCTTCTGTAAAGAAAGAGCTGAAGTTGTGGAAAAACAGACACAAGCTCTTATGTGAGTGGCTGACCTGCAGAGAAAGGTGTATGCACAGCCTCACCAGGTGCCTACTGTTAACGTGAAGGCATTATTGGAAAAGAATGGGATCCTGCCACTTGGAATGGGGATGTGCAGAAGGACCCTGATAAAGCTGGAGACACTCAGTTTGTAAACTCTGATGAACCATTTTTGCCAAAAGAAATAGCTTCCCCATCCCCAGTAGTGGCGACATCCCCTGCCTGACCCACACTGCCATCAGCAGCCTTTCCACCTTTGTCTGAGGAGATAAGCCCTGTCTGCAGGCAAGATAATGTTGCTTCTCCTCAGGAGCCACCCCCAACACCCCTGTTTGCTTTTAGACCTGTAACTGGGCTAAAGTCCCAGTGGGTCCCTAGAGGTGAGGTTGAGAATGTGACCCATTAGAAGGTGTCCTACACTTGAGAAGAACTGCTTGATAGCACACTGGTCCATTACAGTGATGACATTACGCTGGCTGGATCCAGTGAGCAAGAAGTAGCAAACACACTCGACTTACTGATGAGACATTTGTGTGGTATTCCACACAGCACTGCCTCTGGCCAAAGCACTCACTTTATGGCTGAAGCAAGTGTGGCAGTGGGCTTGTGCTCATGGGATTCACTGGTATTACTGTGTTCCCCATTATCCTGAAGCGGCTAAATAGACAGAATGGTGGAGTGGCCTTCTGAAGTCACAATTATAATGCCAACTAGGTGATGATACTTTGCAGGGCTGGGGCAAACTTCTCCTGAAGGCCATGTATGCTCTGAATCTGCATCCAATATATGGAACTGTTTCTCTCTTAGCCAGGATTCGCTATGAGTTCAGGAATCAAGAGGTGGAAGTGGAAGTGACACCACTCACCATCACTTCTAGTGACCCACTAGCCAAATTTTTGCTTCCTGTTCTTGCAACATTACGTTCTGCTGGCCTAGAGCTTCCAGAGGGAGGAATGCTGCCACCAGCAAACACAACAATGATTCTATTAAACTGGAAGCTAAGATTGCCACCTGGACGCTTTGGGTTCCTCCTACCTTTAAGACAACAGGCTAAGAAGGGAGTTACAGGTTCCTGACACAACGTCCAGCTAATTTTTTTAAAAAATATATTTTTAGTAAAGAGGAGGTTTCACTATGTTGCCCAGCCTGGTCCCAAACTCCTGACCTCAAGCGATCTGCCTGCCTGGGCCTCCCAAAGTGCTGGGATTATAGGGATGAGCCACCATGCCTGGCCTGACCTAGCTGTTCTTTTAAAGTTTACCAAGACTATTTTTGTTGTTTCCTCACAAAGATTCCATATGGCAATGGAAATTACCTTCATGTCATTTTTTGCAAATGGCTTGATGCATCCCATTGATTTGCCTTTATGTCTGCTGGCTCCGTCTAATAATCAGAGCTGGACCCAGACTTTACCTGTTCTAGGAAACATTCCTTGGTTTAAGACTCACAAATATGCATATAATATATCCTTCCCTGATGCCTTCTCTAACCAATTATTTACTCAAAATCTCCACTCAGATATTTCATAGGTCCTCAAACTCAACATGTACAAACGTGAACTCAAGACCTATACCCCAACCACCATATTTCATTTCCTCACCCAAGTTTATCTAGGTCAGTGAATGGAAACCTTGGTTACCCAATTGTACAAGCCAGAAGCTTGGAGGTCATTCTTGAAGATTCCTTTCCCTCGCCCCTAAGAGGCTACCACTCACAAAGTCTGGGGGATTGTATCTCCTAAATATCTCTTGTAATGAGATACTTCTTAACTCCACTGCCTTCATTATAATCTCACAAGCTTCTCATACCTGACCATTCTAATTATTTGACTTAAGTCTGCTTGCATCTAAATCCCAAGTATAACTGACATCCATCTGATCACATCAATTTATTAAATGGTTTCACACTGCTCTTAGGGTAAGGAATAAAATTTCCCAACATCCTATTAAAATAATCCAACTCTATATATCTCATTTCTTTCTAAGTCTACTCTTTTTCACTTCTCTTTGACACAACTGAACTAGATCTCATCTTAGAGCTTAATTCTGTTTCACATGTATGGAAGATTTACACTAAGAGCCCCACTCTTCCCCAATGCTTACATCTATACACTTTGCCATATAAGACTACAATGCTCTTCCATTGTTGGTAACATGTAATTCCCTGACCCTGAGTTCAACTGAGACACTTACTTTGGTCAATAAAATTAGACCAGATTCAGAGCCCAGGTCCCAAGAAGCCTTGCATGTTTCTACTTGTCCTCTTGAACCTCTCCCCTCACTGTATAAAGAATCTGCTCAATTGATCCCATGGACCCATGCGAGTTTTTAGATCCCATGAGCAGGATAAGGGACATCTGGAGTGGAACTGCTCAGCTAAATCCAGCCTAGAGCAACTCACCCCCAGGGAACACATAGGTTTATAAGAAACAGTAACTGTCTGTTATTTTAAGTGGTTTGTTATCTAGCAATAGCTAACTGATACACCAACATAACAATTTACATTTTCCTATGGCTTGGTAAGTACCTTCTACTTTTGTTGACACAGTTAGGTCACTGAGGGTTAAAATCAACAAAGAATGTGTAAATGGATGGTATCCTTACTGCTATGAACAGCAAACTATTGCTTGAGGATGGAGGTCCAGTAATAAAACAGTGGCTCTTTCTCCAAAAAAAAAAAAAAAATCTGTGACTTTTCAAATGAAATGAGGGCTTTCCTGGCAATCCCGCTAGTCAGAATGATGGAATTTGGTATGGATCTTTCCCTGCGGCCACAGAAACTCTTCATCCCTGTCAAGGATGGAAGATCCATTGCTACAACCAGGGGGCCATGTTGAAAGTTTAGAGCTGGTTTCAGAAATGACACAGTCTACTTCATTCTGGATAAGGGCACACTCTATCATAACGGGTATTTTAAAGGTCACCCTAGATTTAACCAGGACATTGTGTTCCTTTCATTTTTTGTCCTCTAATTTTTTTTGAAAAGCTGTGGAATATGTCTGGCCTTTCTATTTTTCTCTAGCAGACAAAACCTATTACTAACTGCATGTTAATTAAGCCACAGGGCCAAGACATTGACAATTCAAAATGAAAACCACAACTGCATATGGATGTCGTATCCTGCCCCAACATGCTGTGCTCTTACAGGGATATTCTTGAAATCCAAACTTTTGCACCTGTAAATGTGAAGAGTGACTTGAGTGCTGTAAAACAAAGTGCAGTACGCACCATCAGCTTTGCTATGTCAGGACAGAAATAAAGATGTAATAGTAAATAGTCAACAGATGTCATAGCACCAGAGACCATAAATGCATACACACCTGGATGGGTGCAATTCTTCTCCCTGAAATAAATTTGAAGAATATATGTTTTAGTCTTGCTCAAACCCATCCCAAACTCCAAAGCAAACATATTGAAAGGAGAAACAGTGAACCCTATTAGTTAAAAAATGGTTTACATTTTGGTGGGACTGGAAATTTGAATACCGTAACTGGCTCTTTCTCTCCTTTTAAATCAGTGACACCACGTTGTCTTTAAATAGTGTGCATTTGCAAGAAGGCCCCCATTGCTGTCTGCTGCCTGACAGACCATCGGTGGCCTGGCCTTGATCCTCCTTCCCTACTTCCCTCCCTCCCTCCCTCCTTTCCTTCCTTCCTTTATTCTTTTTTTTGAGAGGAAATTTCACTCTCATTGCCCAGGCTGGAGTGCAATGGTGCTATCTCGGCTCACCACAACCTCTGCCTCATGGGTTCAAGTGATTCTCCTCCCAAGTAGCTGGGATTACAGGCACCCGCCACCACGCCTGGCTAATTTTGTATTTTTAGTACAGACAGGGTTTCTCCATGTTGGTCAGGCTGGTCTTGAACTCCTGACCTCACGTGATCCACCCACCTCAACCTCCCAAAGTACTGAGATTACAGATGCCAGCCACCGTGCCTGGCAGGTGAGTCCTTTCTTAAAGTGCCTCCAAGGACAGAAGAAAGTGAGTGAGATTATTTTCTTTCTTCCCCAGATTGCCGCCCTCCTTTCACTTCAGAGCCAATGCTTCCTAAAGAAAATGTGTTCCCTCACTGTGACTTCCTGTGCTGTCTCCTTTCTTAGGATCTCCTAGCCCCTGGGGGAACGAAGCAGCTCTGAGACCTATTTTGCTTTGTGGTTAGCCAACTGAGAGGTAGGAGGTTTAGAGCTGTGTTACCTGAGGACTAGGGCATCGTGGGGTGGGGCTGGGCAAAAAGTGGCCTTCTTCCTGCAGAAGAGAGGCCTGGTGTAGGGACCCTTCATTGACAGGCTGAAGCTCGAGAGGGAGATACTTGTCAGTGGGCCGGGTTTGGGACTCCAGTGAGTCAGCTGTCTTCAGGGCCCTTTCAGGTTCAGGGGTCAATCTTGAGCGCAGTCCCAAGGGTGACAGCAAGTACGAAGGATCTTCTGGGCTTCCTGGAAGACTCTTGGAAAGGTAACACGGGGAGCCCGCAGGCGCGGGCTCTCTCCAGTCTTCCCAGGTGGGCATCTGCGAGGCATCTTGCTGAGGCAGTGAGTGCCAAGTCCCACAGCCCCGGCTCCTTAATCTCCTCAAAGTGGGTGAGATGGAGATGCGGCCTGGGGCTTGCCGGTCAAACTGGAGGAGACTCCCCTGGTTCTCACAGTGCTGTTTCGGCAGGCTCCTCAGCGGATGCCCAGGAGAGGCTCCACAGCCTCGGGCTGGCACCTCTGGACAGAGTGACTCTGTTTTCTCCATAAAGCTAAGAGGACCTGTTGGTAGCAGGCTCCAGGCGACGTCTGAGTTGCTGCTCTCTGGATCACATGGAGGTTGCTCAATTTCTGCATTCAAGCACCACACTTCCTCTAGCAGTTCTTTGTCCTTTTTCAGAGAATTTCAAGCAGGTTGTCGCATCTTTAGTGAGGAAGAGCAGACTGTGGAATCTGTAGCAAATGAGGGAGACTGCAGTGAGAAAAAAAGATCTAAAATTTCAAAGGAAAACTTCTAATTCTTCATAGGAGATAGAGTTCAGCTCACATCAGCATCCTTTACGTTCAGAAGATATTAATATATGTGACTCCAGCCTTCTCATCTAATAGCATATTGAAATCTGTTTACTGTCTACTTAATATTCCTTCTAGGTTCAAACAAAAAAGACTTTAAACATGGTGAAACCCTGTCTCTACTAAAAATACAAAAAATTAGCGGGGCAATGTGGCAGCTGGTGTAGTCCCAGCTACTTGGGAGGCTGAGGCAGAAGAATTGCTTGAACCTGGGAGGCGGAGGTTGCAGTGAGCTGAGGTGGCATGCAATTGCCCCCCAGCCTGGGCAACGAGAGCAGAATTCCATTTCAAAACAAAACAAAAACAAACAAACAAACAAAACAACTTTGGTAACTTAAGATACTTCTTGGAAACCACACAGTTCCTCTCCTTGTGATGATTTCATCTTAAGAGAATCAAATATACATTAAATCCTCCTTATCGTCTATATTTATGTATGGAAGGACATACTTTGGTGCATCCCAGGGATACAAAAACAAGGCTTTCTCCTCTCAAGGTTTAAATTACAGAGTGAGACAAGCTTTGAAGGTAACCAATGTAAAGTATCTGGCATTGTCTTTATTTTAGATCCTATTGATCTTTACATTTTGGAAAAATGACTTGCAAGTTTGAAAAGAAAAATCAAGATGTCGCCAGGCAACCTACTATTCATGGAGGCGTTTTCCATGATTCATGCATGCAGAATTATCTTTTCTCATGCTCAAGAAAAGCCAACTCTTTTATTTCACAATTTGATTCATGGGAGTGACTTATTGCAGTTCCGTTATTCTGTACCTTCCTAAAGGTATGTGTGGGAAAACATCAATCCTTACACATCACTTGTTGCGTGAGAGTTGATGCTTGATGATTTACAGACCAGACGTGAGACTGTGGGACAGGTGAGAGACCCATCTTTCCGTGCCCCAGATGGCGTGGAAGGCGACTTCAGACTGTGCATGGATGTTTGTGGATGGAACATTTGTACTTGACCATATATTCTAAGATTATCAATAATAGTTTTAGTAAGTTTATCATTCTAAAGCAGAACTCAGCAATCTGAAACCCTTTGGCCTCATTTGGATCGCCAAAATTTAAGAATGGCTAATAATTTACTTCTTATGATTTTAATTGGATGGACAATATTCGTGAGTTGTTTGAGGAACCGCTTTAGTAGAACTTTTCCACAGTGTATTATTTGCATTTTCGACTTGATATAGAAAAGGCTGAAAACCAATAAACCTTTCCCTCATAACCTGACCTCATTCTGCTGACTATTATTCATGATACTTTGTCAAAATACAGTGATTATTACTATGTTTTCTGTAGTTCTGTGGAGAATACAATAATTGTTAAAGGTTTTTATAGCATCTAAATACTCACTCCCACACCAAATGGCCCCACACTGATGTACTCCCTAATTTTTATTCCTTACTTCTCCCTATGCTTTGTGTACTTGTCAATGGCAACCACTCTCTCCTCTTTGTTTCTTTTAATCTGTGTCAGTCATAGAAGTCCAGCAACCTTCTGAATAGAGAATTACAGGCTGTTAGATCTATTCCTATCAGTAAAGAGGAGACACTCAGTCATGACAATGTTGTGACATTGATTTTGGGGACTTTGTGATCTCTTATTTTACTCCCTGACTCTTACATTGTTTAAGGTCAAATAAGGCCAGGCACAGAGGCTCATGAATCTAATACGAGCACTTTTGGGGCAAAGGTGGATCACTTGAGCCAAGGAGTTCAAGACCAGCCTGGGCTACATAGTGAGACTCCATCTCTGTAATTTTTTTTTAAAGGCCAAGTGAAACTAACAGGTACTGGATTTTAGATGGTGAGTTGTTTGAGGAACAACTTAGATGCAAACTAAAGTCAGTTCAACTCTTATTCACAAAAGAAATCTAAAATTCTGCATGTTGGATTTGCTTTATTTTGAGTTGAGGACTCAACTGCTACAGAACTTCACATGTAGAACTAACATGCACGAGGTACCCTTTTTTGCAGAGTGAAGTAAAGAAGGCAATGCCAGTTTAGGAAACTTATGTTCAGGTAAGGCGAAACTGTACTAGTTTTGCTTTTAGATTGGTAATTCCTGGGTGCTGCTCTAAAGGTTGATACTAACATTGCTGGAGAGGCATGAAATGGCCCCTCCTGACCATTGATAAAATAAGGTACATTGTTGCTTCACGGAGAGGCCAGTTCTTCATTCTCCCAACAAAGGCTGGGTTGAGCATGAAATCTATAGGTACTTTCTTTTTCTTTTCTTTTCTTTTTTTTGGAGATGGGGTCTGGCTCTGTTGCCTAGGCTGAGTGCAGTGGCATGATCATAGCACACTGTAACCTCAAACTCCTAGCCTCACAGAATCCTCCCGCTGCAGAACTCCTGAGTAGCTGGGACTATAGATGCTCACCACCACACCCAGCTAATTTTGAATCAGTAGGGACTTTCATGTGTATATACACTCAGGGTCATTCCATTATTTTTCTCCTTTAGAAGACTGTCCAAATTCTAGGTGCACCAATGTTAAAGGAATTCAGTATATTTGCATAGGCACTTGTATAATAGATCAGATTTCTTAGTCTTTGGGTTTCGCCTCTGTCCTTTGGGCCGTTCTCTCTCCTCTTTTGAGGGATTAGGTTACAGATTTGGATTTCCTTTCTAGTAGTTTCAGACAAAGGGTTGTAGTTGCCGGTAGGAAGTTATGTATGGCCAATAAGATTCACATAGGTAAGTCTTATTTATGAGCCACTGGGTTAAACATTGGAACCAAGGCAATAGTAACCGCTGGCATGACTCATTGCAGAAATGGAGAAACTTTAAAAACAGCAGGGCTTTGGGAGGTGGTTTGCAGAGAGGCAGGAAGAACTCAAGCACCAGAGTAAATGGATCTGGTTTCTCTTCCAGTCTCATTGCCAAGTGGCTGTGTGACCTAGGACAAGCCACTTCTCCTCTGCCAACATGTGTGCAGCATTTACCAAGAGGGCATCAAAGAACCTCCCTTACAGGCTTGTTGCAGAAATTAAATGAGATAATGGCCAAGGCTCCTGGGAGTTGCTCCCTAAATGACTACGCCCAGTGGATCCGGTAGAATCAAAGTTCACAGTAGATCCCTTCATGCTAACTCTTCTCCTTGATGTTTAAAAGAGGAAATCAATACATGGTCATAGTAAAGAAAATTCACCAGCCTTTGACCTTCCAAGAGAATCCAGCAAACACCCACCCACTCTGTTGGGGAAGCCATCTCATTGTACTAGAAATTGTTAAACCATTGTAGATTAATGATTCATTAATTTTAACGAGACCTGAAGAGACCAGCAAAACAAGGGAACCTGATAGCAATAGGACGAAAGGAAAGTGCAAGAGAGAAGCCTGGAAAACCGCCGAATGTTGCCTTTAATACCTGTGAGATGGTCTGTCCCTGAAGGCAACTGCGCCCAGGTGGGTCCTGACGATCCTCAGAGCCTCAGAACCAGAGTGAGCTGCCAGGGGAGGGCTCCGAGCAACAAGTGCCACACCTGTAACAATGTGCCCTCTGGGCTGAGTGAAAGCAACCTCGCCACCAGCCACAAGGAGGAACTGGCCTCTCCCCTCCTTAGAGATATTTCCAGTGATTTGTTTATGAAAAAGCCTAAAGGGAAGCCAGTTTGGAATCCTAGGCAGCCTAAGAACAAGTCAGGTAAGCAATGGCTGATCAAATACAGAAATGATGCAAATGTAGCTTTTTACTTCCTCTTGAGGCGTTCAATAAATCATCACTGATAGTTCAGTGAAGCACTTCTAAGTTTCTATTTGTTTTCTCCAAGGTTGTGAGATACATTCTTTGAGACTCTATTTCTTCACATCATAAAACATTTTGTGTTGGTCTATTTGATTAATGACATGCTTTGATAATCATTGAATAATAGAGGAAATGATTAGAGCACTGGGGAGCAAATTTGTGAACATTAGTTCTCAAATAATTAAAATGCAAATGGAAGAACATTTATATCCACCAGTATTCTCATTAGATCAGTACCTCAAAGAACATTCATTTGATGCCTAGGTGGAGATAATGCATATGTATTCAGCATTAAACAACAATGTCTATAGACTTTATCAAAACAAAGTCGAAGTAATTCTGATGAAGTCTAATTCACTGAAGTTTTCATTGCTTGGATTCATTACAGATACTTACTGTGAAGGTTCCTTGAGGATTGGTAGTTCTTAAAGTAGGGTCCCTGGACCAGCAGTATCAGTATGATTTGGGAACTTGTTGGAAAGCAAAAATCTTCCACCTGCATACTCTCCAACCCCCGGAACTCTGGGAATGGGGCCAGAAGTCTGTGTTTGTTTGTTTTTTTGTTTTTTGAAACAAGGTCTCACTCTGTCACCCAGGTTGGAGTGCAGTGGTGCAATCTCGGCTCACTGCAAACTCTGCCTCCAGGGTACAAGCTATTCTCCTACCTCAGCCTCCTGAGTAGCTGGGATTACAGGTGCTACTCTAGTAGCCTCCTGAGTAGCTGGGATTACTAGGTGGTGGATTACACCTGGTGCAGGATTACAGGTGCATGCTAACTTCTGTATTTTTAGTAGTGACAGGGTTTCACCATATTTGCTAGGCTGTTCTTAAACTCCTGACCTCAGGTGATCCACCCACCTCAGCCTCCCAAAGTGCTGGGATTACAGGTGTGAGCCATTGTGCCCAGCCAGAAGCCTGTGTTTAACAAGACTTCCAGGTGATTCTTATATGGGTTAAAATTTGAAAGCCACTGCCCTTAGGGAGATAAAAAAAAAAGGTCTAACTTATAGATGTTGGCCTTGTGATAACCTTTGTATTAGTCTTTAATTGTCTCATACTGATCTTACTAGAACATCGTTTACTTAGAACTTTGAAAAATGACTTGATCTCCTGCTCTCACCACCATTGCCAACATTACCACGGCTCAGCCAAAAGTAGGATACCAAAAAATATCTATTTTGCCAGCATGGAGCCTGCATAAAAAAGTTCTGAGCTCCTGCCAAGGATGTCTAGAAATGAATTCCTTCAATTTGGGAAGGAAAAAAATATGAATAAAGTCTTTTAGCTTTTAGTTTGTGGAAGGAAGGTCATACTTTATCTACCAGTCCCCTCACGCACATGTGATTGTAAAACTGTCTCTCCTAGGGAATAATGATAATGGAATATTTGATCCCAGTGCAAAAACTTCCAGCCTCTGGTTGTAACTTAAAGAAGGAAATTAAGAGTCTTATAGAAAGGTCACAAAGGATTATCAGGGAAAAAAATGTGCCAGCTCCTCTGATTCCTCAAGGAGATGGCAATAGGGAGGTATTCTGGGGGTGAAGGGAAGCCCTAGAGTCAGCTTTTACTTTGAGACCCTGGGCAACCTCACTGTGGCCCTTTCTCAAATGACAGATGGAAGTGCTCTCCAAGATGCAGAGGAAACAGCTTGCCTCAGCGTTTTTTGCCTATGTGTAGTTTTACATTTATGTATGCTTTGCTTCAATAAAACGTATGCTTTAAAAAGTACATCTGTGCTAAAAGATGACATCCTAGTTTGCTTAGTTTCTGGCTTTGAATTGGTAAATTCCTAAAAAATATTTCCTTTTTAGTTGTTGAAAAGAGGTATGATATTTATTTGAGCTTCCTTTTAGGCTTTAGGGTTACAAAAATTCAATTGTACCATATTTACAATTGTTAATATAGCTGGGCATGGTGGCTGATGCATGTAATTCCAGCACTTTGGGAGGCCAAGGCAGGCAGGTGATTGAGGCCAGGAGTTCAAGACCAGCCTGGGTAACATGCTAAAATCCCACCTCCACAAAAAATAAAAAAATTAGTTGGGTGTGGTGGTGCGTACCTGTAGTCCCAGCTACTTGGAAGGCTGAAGTGGGAAGATTGCTTCGGCTGAAGTTTCAGTGAGCCATGATCATGTCACTGCACTATAGCCTGGGTCACAGAGAAACACCCTGTCTCTCAAAAACAAATCAAAACAAAGAAGATGAATATCAGGTGAACATCAATGCATCTTGATATTTTTTAATATTTTTGAGCTATTTATTCAGGAAAAGTTTCTAGGCAGTACATATTCTGAGCTGTTTCATATCCCAAACTTACTTTATTTTGGTGTCACATATTCAGGGCATGGAATTCTTGCATCATGGTATTTTCCTTTAAAGGTCTGTAGAGATCTTTGCATGATTTTCAGTCGTTAGTAGTTGAAATAGGAGGTCAATAGAATACTTACTCTTTGGTGAGTACCATACTCTTGATTTTTTCCTTTTTTTTACTTCTTTGTGACATTGTGCATGTTTTATTGAAGTGTGAAATTAATTTATATATATGTATAATTTTATTGGGATTAGGTCTTGCTATATCACCAAGGCTGATCTCAAACTTCTGGACTCAAGTGGTCTTTTTGCTTTAGCATCGCCATAATAGGGACTACAAGGAATGCTGCTAATTACTTATTTTAAAAATTTTAAAGAGATAGGGTCTTGCTATGTTGTTCAGGCTTAAGTTTTTTCTTTATATTTGAAGGTAGAGATGTTTATCTAACATATGTCATGGTGGGTTCTGTTTGCCAAATATCTGGTGTGTATTCTCTATTATTTAAAATTTTTTTCTAAATAAGAAATACTTTCTGTGTAATTTGGTATCTGTCACTCTTCCACTGATTGTTTCCTCACTCCCATTCTTCATTCTCTTCATTTCATTCTTCACTTTCTCAGTTCTGTTTCTTCACTCCTCAGAGTGAAATTATCTCTTTACTCTCATATTTTATCTTTTCTCTACATCATTTTTGTTTTTTTATTGCTTTTACCTTAGGGGTAATTATATATATATATATATATTTTTTTTTTAATTGCACTTTAGGTTCTGGGGTACACGTGAAGAACATGCAGGGTTGTTGCATAGGTACATACATAGCAGTGTGCTTTGCTGCCTCCATTCCCATCACCTATATCTGGCATTTTCTCCCCATGCTATCCCTCCCCAACTCCCTACAGCCCACTGTCCCTCCTCTAGTCCCCCCCAACAGACCTCAGTGTGTGATGCTCCCCTCCCTGTGTCCATGTGTTCTCGTTGTTCAATACTCACCTATGAGTGAGAACATATGGTGTTTGGTTTTCTGTTCTTGTGTCAGTTTGCTGAGAATGATGGTTTCCAGGTTCATCCATGTCCCTACAAAGGACACAAACTCATCATTTTTTATGGCTGCATAGTATTCCATGGTATAGATGTGCCACATTTTCCCTGTCCAGTCTATCATTGATGGGCATTTGGGTTGATTCCAAGTCTTTGCCATTGTAAACAGTGCTACAATGAACATAAGTGTGCATGTGTCTTTATAATAGAACAATTTATAATCTTTTGGATATATACCTAGTAATGGTATTGCTGGGTCAAATGAAATTTCTATTTCTAGGTCCTTGAGGAATCACCACACTGTCTTCCACAATGGTTGAACTAATTTACACTCCCACCAACAGTGTAAAAGTGTTCCTAGTTCTCCACATCCTCTCCAGCATCTGTTGTCTACAGATTTTATAATGATCACCATTCTAACTGGTGTGAGGTGATATCTCAACGTAGTTTTGATTTACATTTCTCTAATGACCAGTGATGATGAGCATTTTTTTATGTGTTTGTTGGCCTCATGTATGTCTTCTTTTGAAAAGTGTCTGTTCATATACTTTGCCCACTTTTGAATGGGTTTGTTCATTTTTTTCTTGTAAATCTGTTTTAGTTCTTTGTAAATTCTGGATATCAGCCCTTTGTCAGATGGGTAGGTTGCAAAATTTTTTCCCATTCTATTGGTTGCTGGTTCACTCTAATGATTCTTTTGCTGTGCAGAAGCTCTGGAGTTTAATTAGATCCCGTTTGTCTATTTTGGCTTTTGTTGCCAATGCTTTTTGTGTTTTATTGACGAAGTCCTTGCCTATATCTATGTCCTGAATGGTTTTGCCTAGGTTTTCTTCTAGGGTTCTTATGGTGTTAGGTCTTATGTTTAAATCTTTAATCCATCTGGAGTTAATTTTAATGCAAGGTGTCAGGAAGGGGTTCAGTTTCTGCTTTGTGCACATGGCTAGCCAGCTTTTCCAACACCATTTATTAAACAGGGAATCCTTTCCCCATTGCTTTTTTTTTTTTTTTTTTTTTTTTGGTCAGGTTTGTCAAAGATCAGATGATTGTAGATGCCAATACCTAGTTTATTGAGAGTTTTTAGCATAAAGGGCTGTTGAATTTTGTTGAAGGCCTTCTCTACGTCTATTGAGATAATCATATGGTTTTTGTCTTTGATTCTGTTTATGTGGTGAATTACGTTTATAAATTTGTGTATGTTGAACCAGCCTTGCCTCCCCGGGATGAAGCCTACTTGATTGTGATGGATAAGTTTTTTGATGTGTTGTTGCAATTGATTTGTCAGTATTTTACTGAAGATTTTTACATCTGTGTTCATCATGGATATTGGCCTGAAGTTTTCTCTTCTTGTTGAGTCTCTGCTGGGTTTTGGTATCAGGATGATGTTGGTCTCATAAAATGATTTGGGAAGGATTCCC